CATAAACATTTTAAAATTATCTTGTCTATATCTACAAAAAAAAATCTGGGATTATGATAACTCTTGTTAACCCTTGTTATGGGTTGAATTATGTCCCCAACAAAGATATATTGAAGTCCTAACCTCTGGGTACCTATGAAGGGGCCCTTATTTGGAAAAGGATCTTTGCAGATGTATTCAAGTTGAGTCATTAGAGAGATCCCTTAATCCATTATGACTGGAGTCCTTATAAAAGGAAGAAACAGGGAGACGCATGTAGAACATCATGTGATGACAGAGGCAGAGATTGGAGTGATGTGTCCACAACCCAAAGAACGCCAAGGGTTGCTAGTAACACAGGAAGGTGAGAGAAAGCCATCAACAGACTCTTCCCTCGAGCCTTCAGAGAGCACATGGCTTGCTGATGCCTTGATTTTTTGACCTGTGGCCTCCAAAACCCTGAGACAAGAAGAGAAATTTACCGAGCCACTTACAGAGAAATTTAAATGAGCCACCTCATTTTGGTGTTTGTCACAGCAACCCTAGGAAACTAACAGAAACCTGTATATTAATTTGGGGAAAACTAACATCTTCACCATGTTGTCTTTTCCAATGCATGAACACAGTCTATTTAGATCTTTTAGGAGTTCTTAAACCTTGAGTAGTTTTCAGCTTATAAACCCTGTACATGTTTTGTTAGATTTATACCAAAATATTTTCCTATTTTTTCTTTTAGAGAAATGGCAAGTGGTATCATAGTTTTAATTTTGGTGGCAATGCCTTCAAGGACAATCTATGGAAATACAATGGATTGTTGTAGCTTTGTCTTGTATACTCTGACCATGCCAATCTCAATTAGTTTCAAGGTTCTGTTCTGTTTTGTTTTGCTTTGTTTTTGAAGATTCCTTTGGATTTTCCAGATTATCAGATCATCTGCAAATAAGGACATTTTTGCTTCTTTCCGTTCTGTAAACCTTTTCTCCCTTTTTCTTGCTTTATTGCAACGGGTAGAACTTCTATGTTGAAGGAAAGTGGAGGGAGCAGACATCCTTGCCTTGTTCCCAGCCTTGAGAGGATTCAGGTTTTCACCATTAATATAATGCTAGCTGGAGGATATTTCTAGATACTTGATAAGTTAAGGAAATTCCCTTTTATTCCACTTTTTCATTTTTTTTTAATCATAAGTGAGTGAATTTTGCCAAATGCCTTTTCTGCAACTAGATGAACAGGGTAACATGTGGACAATGCATTTGCTCCCTCAGTAAGCTCACTGCTATCACAGTCTCTTTCATTCATTGAATAAATTGTCACTGAGTACCCTAGGTCCCCCAAAATAAAAGGCAATCTCTGCCCTCAAGGTGCTTACCATTTAGAGAGGAAGACAAAGGATGAGGTGATTACAATACAATGTGATAATGTCATCGGCAGGATAAGCTCAGAGGGCCACAGGCATGCAAAAGTAGGGTGCTTAACTCCAAGGAGAGGTGAGGGTGAGGGCGCCTGAACCTCTCTAGAGCAGATGGCATCTCAGCTGAGACTGGTGAGAAGAGGAGTTATTGAGGACAAGCTCTGGAAGGGGACACAGTTTTTCTGGCACACAGAAATGGTTCTGTTCAGAGGGTCTGTTTGCAAGGTAAAAGCAGGACTCTTGGGGGGTTCACGGGCACTGCACCAAGAGCAGGTAGTGGTGATACTGTCCAAGGAAGCTGTGCATTACTCCAAGGGCCTGGGAACCACTGAGGGTTTGAAGCAAGAGTGTGACAGAGACCTAATCAGACTTGCATTTTATTAAGACGGATGCATCAGTATTTTAGAGAAGGAAATGGTAGAGGACAAAGCTAGAGGTAAAGGAGCCAGTTAGGAGGCTCTTGTCACAATTCAGGTGAGAGGGAACCCACTGCCCAACCCAGACAGTGGCAGTGGGTTGGGGAAGGCGAGGCCGTGAGAGATGTCAGGACTTTGAAAGGCTCACGTAAATGTTAGAGACAGGGAACAACGGAAGAAGGAAAAGAAAAGTGGGTAACTGCTGAGACAGAGGAAATAGTTCCTTAGCTTAGACACGAACAGGGTAGAGAAGATGGACTAATCTGAGCTACTGCAACAGCAGAACCACCCAAGATTATGGTCAGAAAGTTTTGAAATTCAGACACTGCTCAACTCCTAAGACCCCCACAGAGGGACGGATCGGCAGAAACTTTGTAAAGAAGTTAATGTCCCATGATTAATCAATGCCCTCTTAATATCTTGGAGGCTTTCCAAAGGAGAAGTTGGTTAAGAATAATGTAGAGTCACCTTGATCAAGACCCTATAGGAGAGTGGCACCTGTGGCTCAGGGAGTAGGGCACCAGTCCCATATACTGAGGGTGACAGGTTCAAACCTGGCCCCGGCCAAAACTACAACAACAAAAATAAAAATAAAAGACCCTACATGAAAGAAATGCATGAACTTGAATTAAGAAGTGCATAAACATTAGGAATAGGGGGAGTAAAGCTAAGAATTGGGGAATAAATACAAGGAAAATGTTTGGAAGGGGGTCCTTCCTTATTCGAGAGGAAGAGACCCATACCTTCTTAAGTGTGTTCTGTCTGCTTATAAACTTGATTGTGTTCTATTTGCTTATACGTTTAGGTGTGTTCTAGAAAATAAAACTTTGCTAATTGCCTGCCACTGCCGTGACTTCCCCTTTTGCCCCAGCTCTGCTGCTTCTGCTGCTGGGTTTCCTTCTTTTCGTGCCTGCTGAGTCAAAGTGTTTTCAGATGCTGGGGGCCACTAGCTAGTGGCACCCAGAGGAAGCCTGAACTGGGCCTGGGGCCTCCATAGTCCCCTGGCAGTCAAGACTGAGGGAAGTTCGAGGAAAAGACAATGGTTGAGGATAATGCCCACATTCCTAGAAAGAAGCTGGGTGGATAGTGACGTCCGGTTGGAGGATGGACATTGAAGTCTTGCGCTCAGAAAAGAGAGATTGAGGTGTGTGAGTCATGAGTGCATTAGCAGTGGTTGAATCCATGAGAGAGGGTGAGGTCTCCCCAAAAGAATGGGCAGAAAGAGAAGGGAAGACAAATGACAAGCAACAGATGTTTATGTAGACGAGGAACCCCGAAAGATCACAGGAGTATCATCAACGTGGAAAGAGACTGACTGGAAAGGGGTATCACTGAATCCGAGAGAAGAGAGGGCTGGACAGTGGAGTCTGCGTCCGGGGCCTGTATTTTGTTTCTCACCCCTGACCTCCAGCTGCCCGAAGTGCAGCTCTAGGTTGGTGTTTTGTCCCCCCACAAGCTCATGTCCCCAACATCAGTCTTTTTCTTACCCCTTCCTTAAACTGTTTTTCTTCCCCCACTATCACTATTCCAGGCTCCAGACCACACATGGTGGACTCATCTTTGTCTCTTCTCTTTTGGGCCGGACCTCTCTATTTTTGGCTCCCATGAGTCACTCCGATACCTATGTCCTCCTCCCTCCCTGACCTTCTCGCTACATCCTGGAAAGTGGTAATGGCCTCATCACACCAACAGCCACCTCACCCTCTCCTTAGCCCAGGCTTCTTTCATATGCCAATCATTTTCTTTCCTTCTTTCTTTCTTCTTTTCTTTCCTTTCTTTCTTTTTTTGACAGTCTCACTTTGTTACCCTCAGTTGAGTGCTGTGACATCCCAGCTCACAGCAACCTCAAATTCTTGGGCTTAAGCAATTCTCTTGCATTAGCCTCCCAAGTAGCTGGGACTACAGGTGCCTGCCACAATGCCCGGCTGTTTTTTTTCCTTGTTGTTGCAGTTGTCATTGTTGTTTAGCTGGCCCAGGGTTCAAACCTGCCAGCCTCAGTGTATGTGGCCAGTGCTGTAACCACTGTGCTACGGTCACAGAGCCGCAAATCATCTTCAAGGTATCTTCCTTCAAGGATTTTTTCCAGAACTACTTTCCAGCAACATTATTCTTTAAGGATGTTCCTTATTGCACATCCCCCTGCCACCCCAAGCAACTCCTCAGCCTGATTTGAAGCTATTTTGAAAAGCAACACCTGCTTTTGAATTTGTTATACTCGCAGATATCCAGAAGACTGTGATACAGCTTTCATTTTGAGCACTAGTTTAGCTTGTCAATAAGACTACATTTAAAAAGACAAAAAGATACAGCAATGCAGGCTTTATTTAAAAATAAAGTCACTTTGGGTGGCACCCGTAGCTCAGTGGTTAGGGTGCCGGCTATGTACACTGAGGCTGGTGGGTTCGAACCTGGCCTGGGCCTGCTAAACAACAATGACAACTGCAAAAAAAAAAAATAGCCAGGTGTTGTGGCAGACGCCTGTAGTCCCAGCTACTTGGGAGGCTGAGGCAAGAGAATCACTTAAGCCCATGAGTTAGAGGTTGCTGTGAGTTGTGACTCCACAGCACTCTACCAAGGGCAACAGAGTGAGACTCTGTCTCAACAACAACAACAAAAAGTTTCTGCCAGGTGTGGGGGCTCATGCCTGTAATCCTAGCACTTTGGGAGGCTGAGGCAGGTGGATTTCTTGAGCTCAGGAGTTCAAGACTAGGCTGAGCAGGAGCAAGAACCTGTCTCTACTAAAAAATAAACAAGAAGAAGCAAAAAAGGAAAAACTGGACAGGCATTGTGGTAGGAGCCTATAGTCCCAGCTCCTTGGGAGGCTGAGATAAGAAGATCTCTTGAGCCCCATAGTTTAAGGTTGCTGTGAGCTAGGTTGATGCCATGGCACTCTACCCTTCCCAGAGTGACAGAGGAAAGTTACCTACATGGATGCACCTCAAATAATTAGAACCTCATGGTATGGCCCTTCCACGTGGCCTTATTGTGTATGCCAACTCTGCAGGGACCAAACCTGATTTCTTTTGCCTACTCATGGGATCCATTGATTTCTGCAATCAGCGGTTCCCTAAAAGGGCTAGACGGGCTATTAAAAAGAGCAGTGTTACAGTTAGGTTCCAAAGACAATTTAGAAATGAAAGCAAAGCTATTGGCAGAACATGGTTCAGAAATCAGACATTTTCTTTTTTCTTGTACAGCCAGACTGAAAGTATCACTTCGGAAGACAGTTCGGAATTCAATTTGGAGGATGTGGACTTTGAGCTGGTAACCAGATTCTATTTCTTGATTTAAATATTGTGTTTGGTGAAAAGTATAGATGTTCATTTCTTCTTTTGAAGTTAAAATGTTCTACTCCAAACACTCCACAAACTTTCCAGAGGGCAGTAAGATTTTGATACTGTTCTCCAATTGGATATATTGTCCATTTTTTGTCATCATTTTGTGAAAAATGTCTACCAGGTAATAATTTAGGAGATAGATATAATCTATTACACATAGTACAGTCTTCCTTTTACAGTAGGCACTTTCTCATTGCTTATCATTTATTTTATTGGAGCTTGAGATGTATTGGGCAGCTGAACTGTAAGATATCAATAGGCCTATGACAAAACAGTCCTTCACTGCCACAAGATTGACTTGAGCTAACCCTACCCTAAATACAACCACAGAAACTCAAAAGGAGCAAAAAAGCTCATTCAGTATTGTATATTACACGCCCTTACCCAAGTCATCTTTTTGATTGTAGTTAAAGAAAAAAAAAAAAGACCCATAAATTCCACAACAGATCTTTAGAACTTTCTCATCTTGCACAACTGAAATTCCACATCCATTAAACACTCCTCCCCTCCCCTCCCCTCCCCTTTCCTGAGACAGAATCTCACTATGTTGCCCTCAGAGTGCTATGGCATCACAGCTCACAGCAACCTTAGACTCTTGGGCTCAAGCGGTTCTCCTGCCTCAGCGTCCCAAGTAGCTGGGACTACAGGCACCTGCCACAATATCTAGCTATTTTTTTGTTGCAGTTTGGCCGGGGCCAGGTTTGAACCAGCCACCCTTGGTATATGGGGCCGACGCTCTACCCACTGAGCCACTGGTGCTGCCCAATGCTAGTTATTTTTTGTTACAGTTGTCATTGTTGTTTAGCTGGCCCAGGCTGGGTTTGAACCCACTACCCTAAGTATATGTGGCTGGTGCTGTAACTACTGTGCTACAGGCGCCTCCCCTCCCCCCTTTTTTCCTATTTTCTTAGACAGGGTCTCACTCTGTTCCCTAGGCTGAAATGCAGTGGCAGTGATCATAGCCCACTGCAACCTCAAAATCCTAGGCTCAAGAGGCTCCTCCTACCTCAGCCTCCTGAGTAGCTGGGACTACAGACCTGTGCCAACATATCCAGCTAACTTTTAAATTTTTTGTACAGATGGGGGTCTCATTATGTAGCCCAGACTGGTGTTCAACTCCTGGCCTTAAGAAATCCTCCCAACCTGGGCCTCCCAAATTGCTAGGATTACAGGCTTGAGCCACCACACCCAGCCACACTATTTTACTTTCTGTTTCTAAGAGTCTGACTGCTTTCGACACCTCGTACCAGCGGAAATATGTACCTTTTGTGACTGGCCTCTTCTACCTAGCATCATGTACCCAGGCTTTCTGTGTTGGAGCATATGATAGGGTTTCCTTCCTTTTTTAAGGCTGAATAATATTCCCGTGGAGAGACTACTTTTTCTTTAGCCATTCACCTGCTGATGGACGTGTAGGTTGCTTCCAAATCTTGGCTACTGCCAATAATGATGCATGTGATTCTGCAAGTAATTGGTTTTTTTTTTAATTGCTTAAAGTAATACACACTTAATCTTAGAAATTTGGGAAGTGTAAAGTAATTAAAATGTGGGGAAATGATGGCCTTCACTCAGCCACCTGTCGTCTTCCTTCTCTTCTGTCTTTCCCTTTCCCTCACCTCCACTTCCTCTTCTCTCTTTTCCTCAGTGTCTCTCCCACCTTCTTCCCTTCCCCTCTCTAATGCCTCTCATCTTCTACCAGCCTCCCCAAATGTCCTCTTCCTGCAAGCCAGCTCTCCACCACATCTGTCTTGTAACTGGAACAGAATTTCTTTACACCACTGTGTTTTCTAGGTAAGTCACATGCATGCAGGCAGCATGTTCTTAAGTGAATTATTTTCTTCTTTACTGATTGACTAGGAGCCAGTGCTTTATTTCAAAGAACCAGAAGAATTACTCGCAGTCCTTACAGAGCTGGAAGAGCAGAATCTTACTCTGGTCCAATATTCCCAGGATGTAGACGAAAATCTCGAAGATGTAAACAAAAGAGAAAAAGTTATACAGGATAAAATGTAAGTCATTTAAAACATCTATTGACTTATTTATTCCGTTAAGAAATGGAATCACTCTACCGAGGGCCACATAGTGAGACTCTGACTCTGAAAAAAAAAAAAATGGAATTTCTGGCTCGGTGCCTGTGGCTTAAGTGGCTAAGGCACCAGCCACATACACCCAAGGCAGTGGGTTCGAATCCAGCCCGGGGCCCACCAAACAACAATAATGGCTGCAACCAAAAAAAAATAGCGGGGCCTTGTGGCAGGCACCTGTGGTCCCAGCTGCTTGGGAGGCTGAACAATGACAACTACAACCAAAAATTAAAAATAGCCGGGTGTTGTGGCAGGCGCCTGTTGTCCCAGCTCCTTGGGAGGCCGAGGCAAGAGAATAGCTTAAGTCCAAGAGTTTGAGGTTGCTGTGAGCTGTGATACCACGGCACTCTACCCAGGGCAACAAAGTAAGACACTGTCTCAAGAAAAAGACTAAAAAAGAATTAAAATAGTAGTGTAGTTTTGATCTGGTGTAGCTTTTACCCTTGATAGGGTGGCTAGCTGTCATTCCCTTAATCAAATCATGCTTTGGACGATAATGCTAACAAATGCATTTTCCTTGGCTGTGACTCTCAGCAAAATAATCATCTTATAATTTTTGTGATTAACTATTATATCGTGTTAAAATGTACATATCAGCATGTCAAGGTACTACAGAAGGGTTTCCTGTCGGGGAAAGAGGGTGGATTTGATGATTCACAAAATTCCTTCCTACCCTAAAATTTTATATTATTACAGTTGAAAAAGTTTCAAATCACAGACAACGGATCCTTCTATCTATGCATTATAAAAATGTATGAAACCGTTTTCAGATCAGTTTTCTGCAGATGGCAGTCTTTTTATTTTTTTATTTTTTTTTGCAGTTTTTGGCCGAGCCAGATTTGAACCTGCCACCTCTGGTATATGGGGCCGGCACCCTACTCCTTTGAGCCCCAGGCGCCGCCTGGCAGTCTCTTTAAACAATAGGTCAAACTACATTTAACTTTGGAACAAATTAACTTGTTCAGAAGGGAAGACACTAAAAATCATTCTCTTGTGCCCACCACTTCTGTATCCTTAACCATTAACCCTTGTATCTTTCCCAATTCTGAGAGTGGACGGAGTATCCCACTCCCAGTGTGATTTTCTGGGGCAGGGTGGATACAAAAGGGCAGAAAAAGAGGCTCCAGATCAGAATCTATCTCCAGCATCTATATCGGAATCTCTCAGCGAGCGAGTCTGGAGTCTCTGTTTTTCCCTTGGCTCTCCAGATACTCTGATTACCAGGTTGAGAATGCTGACTGATGTCCTGGAACACACCACAACCTGAATTCCTGACCCCTCAGTTCTGCTCCTCTCTGTTTGGGGGATATGAGGAGGACCACAATGGCGGCGGGGGGATGCCTTCTGGTGGAGTTAAAAGTAAGAATTGTACATGTATTTTTCACATTTTAACTTGAAAAGTCGTGGGTACTTTGGCAGGGTCTTCACTGTTTGGCTCCATAGACAGAGGATGTTGGCCTAAGCTTGGAGCTCCCAGCTGATGCTATTTCACGAAACCACAAGTTTGAGACGAGGGTCTCTTTCTTCTTTTGCAATAGAAATGCCAACATAGAGTTTCTTTTGGAGCACAAGGAAATGCTAAAGGCTAACTGTGTGAGAGAAGAGGAAAAAGCAGCAGAATTGGAATTAAGGGCCCGGCTATTTAGTTTTGGAGAATTTAATTCAGAAACGCAGGTAATCATTCTTTGCCTACGGTAAACATTCGTTTTGGCTCGTGATGATAACGATACGCATTCGCTGTGTACTAAGCATCGGAATAAGGGAGGTAAAGCAAACCACAAGCTCCAGTTTGATGACAGACGCGAAAATCCAGCCTGGCACTATCTTGCCAACATGTAACAGAGAATTACATAGACAGGAAGCATTGACATTGGCATTGGGGTTCTCCTACAAACTATTTGCTCTAAGTATTGTAAACCATGATGTGGAGGTTTTGCGCTATGAATAGCACTTCTTTTAGTCAGAGTGTATATATAGAAAGTACTTCACTGCCTGTGATGGTTTTGGTGGTAATTTAATTAACAGCAAGTAATTAACAGAGAAAGCAGTGAAGAGAAAATTTACCCAACACTGAGCCTGTAGTAGACTCAGCTTCTTTGGGAAAGATCTTTATCTTCCTCATAGATAAAACTCGTTACCAAAGCACCCCTGACATGTGCTAGTACACTTTTTTATTGACAAGTTCACCTCTCCCAGCTGGATGCAAACCGGTTTGAGGGCAGAGATTGTCTTACCCTTCCTTAGCTCAGGTTGGTGTCTCCAAAATGTTCATGCTCAGTAAATGTTTGTTGAATGAATGATTAAGGTTAGTTTTCAGACCCACACCAGGAGCCATCTAACTTTGGCCCCTTAGTAAAAACCTCAAATGAAATACCTAAAAATTCAAAGTTGTTATGTAGGGCTAATATCACATTCATGAACTTGATTTCCAAACAGAGGTAGATTTGGGGGAACTATATCAGAAGAAAATGACTGTCCTCCCCTACCCACAGGTGGGTGGGGTTACAAAAAGCTCAAGCTGTTTACAGCCTCTAACACGTGTTTCTTGGGATGTTACCATGCCCTGAATTAGCAGGGGATGGCGTTGTGCATTGCTAGAGCAAGAAATATGATGATGGCCACCTTTCAGTTCAGTGCTGTTTTTTTTTTACCATCTCCCCCTTTTTTACTGTGGTAAAATACACATAACATAAAATTTACCATTTAATCATTTTAAGTGCTCAATCCAGCGGCATTAGGTACATTTGCAATGTTGTGTAACCATCACTATCTATTTCTAGAACTTTCTCATCTTTTCAATATAGTATTTGGACTCAACTATTTCTTTTTCTTTTCTCTTTGAGCAGAGTCTCACTTTGTCACCCTTGGTAGAGTACCGTGGCGTCATAGCTCACAGCAACCTCAAACTTTTCGGCACCAGTGATCCTTTTGCCTCAGCCTCTTGAGTAGCTGGAACTATAGGCACCCGCCACCGTGCCCAGCTATTTTTTAGAGATGGGGTCTCTCTCTTGCTTAGGCTGGTTTCAAACTCCTGAGCTCAGGCAATCCACCCACCTTGGTCTCCCAAAGTGGTAGGATTATAAGCATGAGCCACTACACCCGGCCAACTCAACCATTTTTCAATGTACACTTCAGTGGCGTTTGGAAAATTCACATTGTTTTGCAACCAATCTCCAGAACCTCTTGCATCTTGCAAAACTGAAATATTGTACCCACTGAACATAACTCCCCATTCCTCCCTCCCCCAGGCCATGGCAGAATCCTCCATTCTGTTTCTTTCCCTATGAATTTGCTATTCTAGGTACCTCATATATGTGGATTCACACAGTAGTCATCCTTTGGTGTCTTATTTCACTTAGCTTAATGCTTTCAAGGTTCTTCCAAAGTGTAGCAGAGATCAGAATTGCATTCTTCTTTAAGGCTGAGTAATATCCTGTTGTACATATTACCATATTTTGTTTATCCATTCATTGTCAGTGGCCGCCTGAGTCATTTCTATCCTTCAACTCTGTTTCAAACAATTCTGAAACTAATTGAGATGCAAAAGATCATGCTCTCTCCTTCCCATCTGCCCCCCTCCAACCAAGCCCCCTTCATCCAAGTTTAGGGCATTGGGTTAAACAGTGGTATTTTCATTACACTGAGGCAACCAGATGCCTAAACAGAGAAGGTAGAATTGATCTGAAAACTGCTTTTTAAAAGACTATCCATACAATTTTGGTCACAAGTGCAAATTTGGCATGCATGTATTGTATGCTCTAGGGAAATGGGGCTCATAATTCATAGTGTCTCTTAGAAATATGAAACATGGGAGATGCACAGGTAGAGAAGGAAAATGGGGAGGGAAAGCAGAATCTGCCTGCTTCACTCATGTTTGTTCAGATCTCAAAAATGCAGAAAACATAATCCTTTATAAGTAAACATAGTTGCACCTAATTCTTTAAAGGCTTTCAGCTTTATTGAACTATAATTGACATGCCTAATTTTGTAAGTTATCATAGTTACTTTGGAGCTGTAACTGTGAAATGCATATTTGATTCTTTTTAAAGAAACTTTTACACAAACTATTTAATCTCTTGATTTTTTTTTCCTTGACCCCGTATTTTACTTTTTTTTTTTTTTTTTTTTTTTTTGCAGTTTTTGGCCGGGGCCAGCGCCCAACTCCTTTGAGCCACAGGCACGGCCCCAGTATTTTATTTTTAAAAGTTTAAATTCAAGTATAATGTAACGTTGAAAAGTGCCCAAATCATAAGTTTACCTCTCAGGGAATTTTCTGTTCCACAGATCCAGTAATAGACCATTATCGGTGCCCCACCAAACCCCCTACCACAAACGTCCCTCATACCCTCCTCCAATCTTTACTATCCCCCTTTCCCACTCTCCTGGCTTCTCTCACCATCAATTAGCTCTCCTAGTTTTGAGCTTTGCGTTAAATAGAAACAGACTCCTTTAGTATGTCTGGTTTCTTTCTGTCAACATTGCGAAATTCATCCATGTTGTTTTGTGTAGCAGTTTGGTCCATTTTCATTGAACAAGAAGTGGAACATAAACTATTCCACTGTTCACTTTGCAGAATGTGTTTCTCTGTGGTTTTATTCTCCTGTTGCACAGGGAGCCGGTCAGGTGCATTGGGAGAGCTGTGTACCATCAGTACACAGCAGAATGAGACAGGGACTGGAATTACTGGGTTATTGGGGTTGGAAAGGACTTGCGGTGACAACTCCATGTTTCCCTCCCATCCCCTCGCCGGTTTTGATACACTTGAGGAGTCCTAAAACGTTGCTTTGGTTGTGTCACTTTCCAGTCACTGTTGAAAGGCATCTAAAGTTCTCTTCAGTCTTTCATAACAATCCTGCCCCACCACTCCTCCTGCAGACTCCGGAGCACCTCTGAGCCCTTGCAGCCTCCCCGGGGCAGCGCTTTCTCTGCGGTGCACTGTGCCGGGCCTGCCCTCTAGTGGCGGTTCCAGGGATCGGACTGAAACGTCCCTTCTCTCTCTGCCCTTTTGCTTTTTGGGCCCCGCCTTCCAATCTCTTTTTCGTACATCAATTAGCTTCTTTAATCTCCCTTTCCTATCTCTTGTCCTTACCTTGCTGTCTCAAGAAGAAAACATCTGTTCTTATCCTTTTCTCCTGTTTGATGAGGGGACTTACCAAAAATAAAAGAGAGAGAGAAAATAAAAAAAAGACATCTGAAAACCCACTGCCCATCATCTCTGAAGCTCTGTGTTCATGAGATCTACCCACTGGGCACCATTCTCATATTAAAGTTTTTTGTTCTTAAAACCAGTTTTTGTTAACGTTTCCCTCCCCCCGCCCCGCGGTACTATGGCAGCAGTATTGTTTTTCCGTATGAAATGCATATTCCAGTCCCTAATAGGTTACTTTTACTCCTTTTTCTTCTATGTTTTCCTCTAAAAAGAAAAAGAAATTTTTCTAAACAGGAAACATGCTGTGCTCTTTGGGGGGGGGGGGCTTTTTCCCCCTGCTTTTTTCTATTATTTTGAATTTCTCCAAGTTTTCTATAAAGATCATGTTTTTAATATAAATAGGAACCATTGCAAGTTTTACTTCAGACAGAAAAAAGGGAGATTTATGCTAGGAAGTAGGAGAGACACTGTGGGAAGTACTCTCTTGGTATCAGATCTTGGCTTATGTTAATAATTAAGTCTGGTGGCTCTGTAAGGAGTCTGTGGATCCAGGAGGGGCTTCCCATGGCTCCAGGAGCCATTTCTGTCTTCATTATATTGTTTGTCCTTTGCTTTACGGTGACTCTCATCTTCTTGAGCAGCAGAAGCAGGAAGTGCAGCAGAATGTTACCTGGAGAACGATTTGCATTGCCCAGCAGTTTGTTGAGCTCCTCTTAGCTGCGAATGTCCCGCAAACCCGGGCAACAACGGAGAAAGAGGAGGACAATGCTCTTATGGTCCCAGGACATGTTACCTTCAAGCTCAAGAGTATCCACCAGCGGTTAAAACAGCGCAGTGTCGAGGTACAGGGATCAGCAAGGTTTGGCCTAAACTTCTGTTTAGACTAGAATACTGCACTGGCTTCCCAATGGGAAGAGTGAAGGGCCAGCCTGGGAACCTGTTTGCATTGAATTGTTTTTTTCTCTGAGAGAATGCACTCAGTCATTTATTCAGCAAACATTTATTAAATGCATAGTTATGTGCAAGGCACTGTTTTAGATGTAAATGTAAGCATAAGCAGCTCCTGCCCTCCAGATGCTTACAGTCTAGGAGAGAGAAGGCATGTTTGCAAATAACTGTTATATAGGATGATTATCATTCAGCAAGAGTAATAAATGCAAAAAAATGGGGGCTCACATATTGTGCCAAAAGGAAATGCAGGAGTGACAAAAAAATTTTTTTTAAATGTTTGTTGTCTCTACTTGAATGCTTAGGGAATCAGGTATGCAAAAACATCCAAGCAAAAAGATATTCTGTCTTATATTACTAATACTTTTAATATCTAGACTTAAATATTTTTTAAGAAAACAATCCATAAAAATTACGATGTAGATTAAATATCACTGCTGCATTTTCTCACTGGTCTACGTCACATTAAAGTTTTTCTTCTAAAAAAGGGAAACATTTAGTAGCACTGTACTATAGTAAATGGAATTGTACATTTGTTGAATGAGCAACTGAATAGTGATGTGATGTTGTGTTTTCTGCTCTTAATCTCAGGAAAAACTGATAGATTCACTTAGTAGAAAAATTAATCAAGTGTACAGAGTCTGCATTGGAGATGCGGAGGTTGGCAGCCTCAACCCAGTTCAAAAGCTGGTAAAAGTAGAGTCTCGCCTGGTGGAACTAACTGACCTCATAGAGTCCATTCCCAAAGAAAATGTGGAAGCAATTGAGAGGCTGAAACAGAAAGAACGGCGGCAAAAGTACAGTGTCGTATGATATAGAGTGAATTACTTAATGAGTAGCTGATTTGGCATGGGTTTCACACATTTTTAGCAAGTCTCTTATGCGTCAAGGAGTGCCATCTTAGGGCTGCAAAGAGGGGAAACCAAACCCAGATGTGCCCTCCTGTCAGAGCTGTCATTTGGTGTGAGAGACACATTCACCAAACGTTCTTATTAAATAAACGCCACCACCAATGGTAATGGGCATTGTAAAGAAGGAAGTGAACATGGAGTTCACAAGACACAAGGCCTATTTGGGGACGGACAAGAAGGTCCTTTTAGCCTGGAAAAGTGAATCTTCAGGGTGAATGTGCTAATTATATGCAAATTTTTGAAGAGGTATAACGTGAAAAGAGAACTGCACTTGAAGTGAATGACCCAAGATATAGAATTAGGAGCCCTACATTGGAAAACTATAGGGAGACTCCATCTATGAAGGGATTCTATGAAACTCCAAACCACTCAATGAGGTTTTCCTCAGTGAGTAACTACCCACACTTGTTAAATAAGTGAAAGTTGTAAATGATGTAGCCCAGAGAGAAGGCCACAGTAGAGATGTTTGGTCAGAGGGTGGGTGACCCATCAGGGCAGTGTACAGGTGGCAGCTGCCCTCAGTGGCAGTTAGAGACTACTTTTATGTGGGGGCTGGGGTGGGCAAATTCCACAGCTTGCCTGGAAAGTTAGGTCTTTGGCATGAACTTCTGGGGGTGGGGCTCGCCAGATCCTTTGTGCCTTTGTCATAGAAGAGGAGGAGGAGGGGCAAGGGTTTGCGTGTGGCTATATTAGGCCCCCCAGCAATAAGCTTTATGTACATACAATTGTCCCTCTGCAGAGGATTGATTTCAGGAACCCTGAGGACACCAAAACCTGCAGATAATCACATCTTTTGTAGAATTTTTTTTTTCTTGAGACAGAGCCTCAAGCTGTTGCCTTGGGTAGAGTGCTCTTACGTCACAGCTTACAGCAACCTCCAACTCCTGGGCTTAAGCCATTCTCTTACCTCAGCCTCCCAAGTAGCTGGGACTATAGGCGCCTGCCACAACACTTGGCTATTTTTTGATTGTAGTTGTCATTGTTTGTTTGGTGGGCTGGGCTGGATTCAAACCCACCAGCTGGGGTGTATGTGGCTGGCGCCTTAGCTGCTTGAGCTACAGGCACCAAGTGATAGTCCTATCTTTTGTATAAAATAGCATAACATTTGCATATCATCTGGCCTGTATACTTTAAATTACCTCTACATTACATAGCTACTATTCTGTATCTTTTAAATTTGTATTTCTCCTGTACAAAAATGAAGTCTGGAATATATTATGGTGATCCTGAAGGGATATTAAACATACAGCAAACTTTTAATAAAAAAAATTGGGGGCCAGGAGCAGCAGCTCACGCCTGTAGTCTCAGCACTTTGGGAGGCCAAGGCAAACTGCTTGAGCCCAGGAGTTGAGACACCAAGCCTGGGTAACATAGCAAGACTCCATCCGTATTAAAAAAAAAAATAAAAATAAGCTAAGCATAGTGGTTGGCACATGCCTATAGTCCCACCTACTCAGAATGCTGAGGCAGGAGGCTTTTTTGAGCCCAGGAGTTCAAGACTGCTGTGAACTATGATTGTACAATTACACTCCAGCTTGGATGACAGATTAAGACCCTTTCTCTAAAAAAAGAAAATTCTAAATGAAATGACTCCTTCCTTAAGATGACCTCACTGTGACTGATTACAGTTAACATTTGCATTTTTTACAGTAGCCAACATATTCTCAAAGTGTAATTCCAAGTTATTTTCTGCAGTGATACACAAATGTAATTTCAATTATTTTCATTCTTATTCAAAAGAGAATTTTAGTTAAATCTCCCTATGGCTTGGAGGCACCTAACATAGCACCTAATTTTGCATAAAAAGTGCTTGGTAAATATTATTTCCATTCCCCCTAACATATAACCTGACACAGGACATAATTAAATAGGCCACTAAAATAGCTATCACTTATTGAGTACCTATTATTCCTCATTATCTTCCACTAGATGGGCTGCAGAGATTATCTCATTTTATTTTTCCCTCACAAAAAGCCTAAAGAGAATTAGACAAACAGCATTTCTTGCTTTTGAAGATATTATTCAAAAAAAAAAAAAAAACTGGAACGTACCCTTTTGTGGTAATTCATCGAGCTATACATTTATGTGTACTTTTCTGTATGTCACATTCAATTGAAAGGTCTAAAAAGGGGGGGGGAAACAGTTGAAAGTTAATTCAAGTATCTAGTATACAAACTAAAGTTAAATAAGTTAAAGTTAAATATAATTATGGTTATGAGAGTGCTTGGTTTCATTTTTGCCCAGTAACTGGGTAGATTATTGCTTCCCAAATGGTGAAATGAAATTCCTTCCCATCTCACAAAACCCTATTCACTGTTGATTTACCCGACTACCGGGATTCAAAAGCCATTGTCATGGAGGAAGATGAAGTGTCATCTTCATTTAAATGTAAAGGTTTTACATGTAGATGGTTCATTACCTAATAGTAATGAGGTGGATCTCTTTTACTTTCTAGGATTTATAAGATGTTTCTTCTCCTGCAACAGGTTGCGTGAAGAGAAACTGAAAGAAAAACAAAGACACCAGGAGGAAAGGCTAAAAGCTGCTCTGGAAAGAGCGGTAGCACAGCCGAAGAAAAAGGTTTGTGTTTTGCTATTAATAGATCCTGACACACTGGCATGTAAGGGTCCCTGTGGCACAAAACCTAAATAGTACTTCGTCTAACTTATCCAGCTAAACTTGAGTCAAATAATCTTCCTCATTCATTGCTTCAACTGCCCTCTGGTTCCTTGTTACTTTTAAAGTAATTCAAATTTTCCTATAGTTCTTGAGTAGACTTTTTTTTTTTTTTAGTAAAAGTAGCCTCAGCCTCTTGAGCTGAGGACTTGTAGCTGGGACTACAGGCACCCGCCACAATGCCCAGCTCTTTTTTGGAGACGAGGTCTTGCTCTGGCTCAGGCTGGTTTTGAACCTCTGAGTTCAGGCAATCTACCGGCCTTTGGCCTCCCAAGGGCTGGCACTACAGGCGTGAACCACTGCGCTTGGCCCCTTAAATTGTTTAATATTTTCTTCTCTCCTTGAAGGCCGTGAGTTTTGTGACCTTTATATCTCCAATGCCAAGTGTATCAGTGGATACTCAATAAATGCTTGTTCAATTAACAGACTAAAAAATGAACATGAATACTAAAAACTGGAAAAAAAATGGTTACCTGATAAATCAACAATATGCAAAGACTGATACAAGTTTACTGAAGACACTTCTCATCATTGGCAATTTTTACAGACAGTAACAAAGGTTACCAAAGATCTTTGACAGTTATAAATTCTGACATTAGAAAAGGAATTCAGGAATTCCAGTTCCTCAAGTGATAGGGAAGAATGCTCACTTAGGTTCGCTTAAGCCAGGGATGTTAAGAATTCTGCAATGTCGGGAGGCACTGTGGCTCAGTGAGTAGGGCGCCAGCCCCATAAACTGAGGGTGGCAGAGCGGCAGGTTCAAACCCGGACCCGGCCAAACTGCAAAAAAAAAAAAAAAAAATAGCTGGGCATTGTGGTGAGCACCTGCAGTCCCAGCTACTCAGGAGGCTGAGGCAAAAGAATCACCTAAGCCAAGGAGTTGGAGGTTGCTGTGAACTGTGCTGCCATGGCACTCTACGAAGGGCAATAAAGTGAGACTCTGGCTCTTAAAAAAAAAAAAAATTCTGGAATGCAATGGCTTGGTGCCTGTGGCTCAGTGGCTAGGGTACCAGCCACATACACCAGAGCTGGTGGGTTCGAACCCAGCCCGGGCCTGCCAAACAATGACAACTACAACCAAAAAGTAGGAGGGCATTGTAGTAGGCACCTGTAGTCCCAGCTACTTGGGAGGTGGAGGCAAGAGAATCACATAAGCTCAAGACTTGGAGGTTGTGAGCTGTCACGCCACAGCACTCTGAGGGCGACATAGTGAAACTCTTATCTCAAAAGAAAAAAGAAAAGAATTCTGCAATGTCTCACATGAGGTCCTGCTAAAATGTCAGTATTGCTTCTTGTAAGAAAACTGGAGAAGTCTCATCAAATCTCGTGTCTAATAGAATACAGTTTCCTCATCTAAACATTTAAGTTTTACAAAAATTCAACTATAAAAGCAAACAAAAACAAGAAGGGGAGTAAATCCCAAAACAAAAAGAGAAAAAAATAATCAGCAGTGATATACTTGAAATATGTATGTCCCAGAGAAAATGAAGGAGTGAAGTAGGGCTTCCTTAAACCTCTCCTGTTGGGAACACCTCCAGGAGCCAACAGGAACACTAGTGTTAATATACAGTCTTCTGTGTTTAGTAAGATTTCTAAATACAGCTGCCTATGGTAATTACTATGTTGGCCTCCAACATGGTGCTTTTCAAGGCTGACCACATTTGAACCATATGCTATTTGATCACCTTATCCAAATCTCTCCATTTCAAAAAACCTGCTTTCTTTTGCAGTGTTCACATTTACCTAGTGTTACATATCCATTGGGGTTATCAATCCCTTTCTAAGTGACTACTTAGTATTTTAAACCATATTATTCCCTGTAAAAACCAAGTTAATATTGGTATTCCACACACTTCAACAGTAAATGGTTATTCTCCGGCTGGGCATGGTTGCTTATGCCTGTAATCCTAGCACTCTGGGAGGCCATGGCAGGTGAATTGCTTGAGCTCATGAGTTCGAGACCAACCTGAGCAAAAACAAGACCCCATCTCTACTAAAAAACAGAAAAACTGAGGCAAGCAGATCACTTGACCCCGAGCTGGAGGTTGCTGTGAGCTATGCGCCACAGCACTCTACCCAGGGCGACAGCTTAAGACTGTCTCAAAAAAAAATAAAAGAAAAAAAATGGTTATTCTCAAGAATATTAAGTAATTTTGTTTTTCTTATTTCAGGTGGGAAGACGACTTATACATCGTTCAAAACCTCCATCTGGTAACAAACAGAGATTACTTTTAAGCCAGGATACAAGAACAAAAATACAAGAGGAAGAGTTTTTTTTCACTTGAAAAGGAGCAGTTAAGACATTTCATTGCCAGAATGTTTTAGGTATATGTTGTAGATTTTGGCTTTCAGTAATGGCAACATTCTGCCCCATATATTAGCCTCATCAATTTGAGGAAGACAGACCCTTATTTTAAGAGCTATAGAATTAAGAAATGAGTTATTTTGTTGAAGCCTTCTAGTATTTATATTGTGAAATATTATTCTATATAGCTAAATATTTGTATCTATACTTTGAGTCGTCTCAGGGATACAAATCTGAATTTGATAAAACTATATGATAAATGACTGTTCAAACATAATAGCCATTTTCTGATAACATGAGAATTTAAATGACATTTTCTCAACTCCCTTGTAGGGAAGTTCATAGCATTTGGTTATCACTAGAGAATATACGTTTTAACAATATATAACTCCAAAATATCTGGGTTTAAAACTTAAGTAAAAACAACTAGATTATGGTCTCAGAACATCACTGTGAGATTGGTTTCTATTTTACATTAAGTTCTCTTCAGAAAACTTTATTCTCAAGTGAACAAACCATATGTATGCCTTCAGCCTAAATGTAAGTCTACAATTTTGATTGTGCCCTATCTGCACAATCATTTTAATGTATGGAAATGTATCCATTTTGGCTATAATATGTGCATTTACCTTGTATCAATATAAATTAATGTGTAACTTATTACATGTAATAAAAACATAATTTATTACATGTAAGTAAAATATAAAGAAAATGTTTAGCTTTATACATGTAAAATGTGGCTCAAAATAACTTGAAAAGGTTGCTTTTAAAAGGTCTTAGTTACAAAAGTTTCTAAAGCATGCAAATAATCATCCCTTACAGAAGAAAAGAAAAAAAAAAAAAAAAACCAGAATTGGGCTTACAAAAGAAAGCCACCTTAAGTGAATTTGAGTGGCTTTTAATTCTGTGAATAGTTGTTTCAACATCTGAGTATGAATAGTTCACAGGTCAAGTTGGAAAAACAAACAAACCTTTATTGTCTAGAAATATATATATAAAAAACAGAAAAGACACTATTCTCTCATTTCCCCATCTTCTTCCTCTTCTTCAACACCTCTGATGTAAAGGACATTGTTACACCTGTAAACAGAAAAATAGTTCATTTTGTTGTTCCAACCAGAAACTGTCATCTGAACCATTAGTCTAGTTTTTCACTGTGAAAATATTGAATGCTAAATTTGTAACATCTTCTTTAAGAAAGAGTTACAATGGCCTTTTTTTTTTTCCACCATAGGGCTAGTATGTAATGACATCTTTATGATTGTCCAAGGAAATAATTACTAGAATTTGGAAGTCTGAAGCTAGTGTAGAAAATAAGCATAACACAAATCCTTACCAGCACCAGTCCCAACTAAAATTCAGACCTAACCTCCTACAATTAAAGACACCGAAAAGGATCACAGGTAAGAGCCAGAAAATTTAATATGGACATGGGAAAAATCTTAAGGTGAACAGCTTCAGAATATTTAAACCTTGACAAGTTTAATATTTCAAAGACTTCTGAATTCTGGTTGTAAAGTACTATGTTAAATTAATAGTGATTTTTGTTTTTTTAGTAATTCCAAAATTGTACTAAATTTTAAACAAGAATTTCTAATGCTCACCAGTAATTGCTTATATAAATGACTGCATGAATGCTGTTTGTTACCTTATTAAAACTTCACCCAGATGTCCAGACAATGCCCCATCTATGTATTCTTCTGTATTTGCAAGCTTTCAATAAAAAGAAATATATTAGTATAATCACACAGGAGGAAAATAGGAAAACACACTTAAAACTGGTGAGAGACTTTATTAACTGAGACCTGTGTATACCAAAACCTCAAATTTACCTATATTAGATTAGCTTTCTGTTACCATTGTAGTACTTTTGTGGTTTCATATATACTTGCAATAAAAATAACAATGTAAAACTACTATATAATAAAGCTTGTTTCAATTTAAGTTTCTAAATCTCCTTATTTCTGTTAGATACCTAGACTGTGTGTGGAGGAAGACAGTCTCCAAATTACAAATAAGCTGTGAACTGAAAAGCTTCCTGAAAACTCAGTTCCAAATCACTAGACATTACGTGGTCTCAGAATAGTATCAGGATATCTCAGTATGATTTTATGAGTGTATAAAAGCTATGGCTAAAATACTTTCATAACCAAAGCAAAAAACTGAATATGAAATTTTTAGAAAATTTATGTACTGATGAACGGCAAAAAACAAGTTCTTAGGAGGAGGTTAAACAGGTAAGAGGGCTCTTTCTAGTTATTTCAGGGAACTCTTATTTCTAATTTTACATCAACATGTTTAAGTTTCCTTCTACATAATAAACTCTAAAAACCATAATCGTCATCATGTGGGACTCAAAAGGAATGAAGAGAGAAGGGGGAGGTTTCCATCATACTAGGCAAGTTAAGAAGGAAAAGAGGCTCGGCGCCTATAGCTCAACCGGCTAAGGCGCCAGCCACGTACACCTAAGGTGGCAGGTTCGAATCCCCAGCCCGGACCCGC